GTAGTTACCGAAATAGCAATTAGTATTAGTTCTTTTACCTGTTATAACTTGGATATCCGATAAATCGGTATAAAATCGTCACCGTCACCTCTAGGTGCGGTATGCGTCTACGGCTGCATGTATCGCGTGAGCGGTTATAGAATTTGCACGAAAGAACGACACAACCATACCGTACATAGCGAAAATGGCGGACTCAGCTCAGATAGGTCTTTCAAGACCTATATAGTTGGCACGCGTCTGACGCTAACCACTTCTATTGTATTTATTATATTGTGGTGTTACCGTTTGTCGTGACTTCACGTTAGGCTGTGTCGCCTTCCCGCGCGTGTCGTCCCGCGTATAGTAATGATTTGCAACACAATAATTAAATCGAAATCTTTTAACATAGACTTCTTTTTTTAACGTGTAGGAAATGCTTTATGCGTATCCTCGAGCCCGGAGAGACCCGAGGTTTATGTGGGACTGGCCCTCTAATAGAGGGCATACCCACTAAAACCCTCCGGCGCACCCTCTTGGCCGGGTGTTGCGGACGCAGTGAGATCCCGTAGATACACCACTACGACGCCCCCGGCCAGCCTGACTTCTGTCAAGGTTCCCGCGCTAAAGAGGAAAGGTTCAGAACCTTGATCCATCCCCCCAGATGGGTGAGACCGGGCAATTATTCTTTCCCGCCGAAGAACAACCTTCCTTAACCTTTATTGAAATAATTTAAATTAAGCAAAATTATTTCTAATGATTTCTATAAAATCATCTAAATTATAAATTTAGATGTTGTGTTATAAATTGATTAAATTAAAGTTAAATAATTAAAAAACTTTTTCAAGTAAAGCTTATGCAATTTACAAGAACACAGAATCAACCTCGAATCAAGCGACAAACCTGTATAAAATGTAGTCAGTTAAAACAAATTAATAAAAAAAAATACAGGAGACCAATTTTTTATTTTCCAACAAAAAAAAACTAAGAAAATATTAAATAGCACTGCATTATTTTGGAGCTTTTATTAGTTTTCCGCTAAATTATCCGAACGTTTTCTGTTTTTTTTTTGAATTTAGAGATTATAATTTACATTCTCGAGCTATAAATCGATAATAGGATTACGATTTTTATTATATCTATTGCTACTTTGTTTTACTACTGTCGCCTTTTCTTTTTTAGGCAGCCGCAATAACTTACGTGTTCCGAATCACTTCACTATGATTTTGAATTCGTTAATGTTTCCAGAGCTACCTTTGTAATTCTAAGACCACTGTGTAATACATAATAATAATAAAAAAATGAAATAATGTAAAAAAGAAAAAAAGAAAAAGAAAAAAAAGCTTCATTTATTCTCATAATAATTATAAATAATACAAAAAATCCCTAATTGGATAATTTAACATAAAAATAATAATAAGGAGCTCAAGGATGAAGTGTCTAGAATTTGGCGACAAGAAAAGTAAACGTTATCCCAATTGTTCTTTCCACAATAGGAATTATTCCCGATCATCTACTTCATAGCCTCAAATTATTAGGTTGTAAAGAAAGCCTCCACATTATCTTGTGAAAAGCTGTAATTTCAAATACATTTCGCATTGTCAGAAAGTTCATGCAGATAACAGAGGGCAAAAGAAGGCTCTTGTTACACACCCTCCGAATAGATACCCGCCGCATTTGATTTCAGCCCGTAATTGTGGTTCAAACTAGGCCACTGGCTGAGAAAATTAAAGAAGAACATGATAATAACGCTTACACTCATAGCCCTGCACTAGGGAAACCATGTATCGCGAGTGCCATGGACACACGCATAGACAACTACAAATTACATCCAAATTTACGAAGAAATAAATGTAGGCCATACAAAATATTTCTCCCGGCACGGGAATCGCACCCGGGACCTCTGCCTTGCAGACCAACATAGTAACCGTTCAGCCACTTAGACAATTAATATAAATTTAATTAATTTTAAGATCAGCATTTATAAATTATTATTAGTAACCTCTCTTTGGGTAAAAGCCTTCTCGTTTTTATTTCATAGTTGCTATTTCTCGCCTTGCTCATCCAGTCTTTGTCAGCTGCTTTGTTTGTTTCGTCTATCCATCTCCCTTTGATCTTCCTCTAGTCCTCTTATTTTATGGTCCTGTCTTCGTGGTTACATTTTTGCCCATTTGTCACTTTCTATGCAAGCGATGTGGCCAGGCTATTTCCATTTTAATTTTTTGTGGTGTGTCAAAGCATCGATGACATTTGTGGTTTCGATTATATCTGCATTTCTTACTCTATCTTTTCTTTTCAAAACATGTAACACTTAAGACCAATAAATTCTTTGACTTTGATTTAAAAGATAGAGTACATAAATCTGTCCATTTAATTATCCTACAACTTATCGATATCGATCAAACAACACTATTTTCAATTAAGCCGTCAGCTGTTAGCAGTTTACTGATTATTTATTTTACGACGCAAGAAACACTAAATTTTGTCGAGATTGTATTTTATTTAAGGATTAATAAATCTACTTTAGGATCTTTTTTCTTGCGCGTTTTATCCATGAGAAATTTGTTGCTATTTTATTGGCTATTTTTGAAACAAACAATTTCTTTCAACGTTTAAGAGATTTCCTGTTGGAATGTTGCAGGACATTTTTAGGGTGTGGTATTTCAACGTGAGCTTAGACTTTAGAAAGTGAGGTGTGGAGTGTCGCCCTTCGCGTCTCGTAATCCGCTAGCTATAAATTAATACAAATCCAATAAGAAATTGACTGTCTACGTCGGCATGGATTTAACACGCGAAAATTTTCGTAGTATGATTTTCTACGACTTTAAGTGTAATTTAACAACTCAGCGGAGCTTTGCGGCTTTAAACTGCTTTTGGCGATGAAGCAACATGCAAGACGACTATTTATAGCTAGTTTGTAAAATTCAAACGTGGTCATGTGAATCTCAGTGACGAATTTCGTGATGGTTGCCCGTCCACTGCCGTGAACAAAAAAAAATACATCGATGCTGTGCGCCGTATGATCAAAACAGATGGGCATGTGACATATCATGAGATTCGAGCATCTTTAGGCATAGGCAAGAGTCAAATACAATTAATACTACACAAAAATTTGAATGTGTAAAAGCTGTGATCTCGCTGGGTCCCACACAATTTGCCTGAGGCTCAAAAAAAGGATTGCGTCACTTGGTGCAAATCCATGCTAGCAGATTCAATGAAGGCGCGTCAAATTTGGTGTGGGACATGGTAACAGGTGACGAAACATGGATTTATTGTTACGATCCCAAAACAAAGGAGCAATCGAGTATATGAGTTTTTCGAGATGACCCGAAACTAACCAAAGTGGCGCGCGTGCAAAGTGCCTCTAAGCGGGTGATTGCTTCTTTTTTTAATAAAACTGGACACGTGGCTATGTTGCTTTGGAGAATCGTTGTACCGTGAATAATGGTTGGTACACGATCATTTGTTTTCCGAAAGTTATTGACAAACTCCGTAAAAATAACCGTAAATGTCGTATCATCTTGCACCACGACAATGCCAGTTCTCACACGGCCTAACAGACAAATTAATTTTTGTAGATGAACAACGTTGACCTTATGAGCCATCCCGCGTACAGTTCCGACCTGGTACCTTGTGACTTTCATTTATTTCCAAAAATTACGAACCAGTTACGCGGTCAACGATTTTCATCACCTGAACAGGCTATCGAAGAGTATGAAAAACTTGTTTCAGAGATTGTCATGGAGAAGTGGTATAAATGTTTTCAAAATTGGTTTATTCATATGAAAATTTGAGTAACAATAAATTAATTTCTGACCATTTATAGTATTTTTTTCTTATTCATTCCGGAAACTCATTGTGCGCGTCACGTATAAATGCCACTGCGCCAGCCACCCGGAGACATAAGTTGACACGTCCCATGTGCCTGTAATTTTACCAGCACCTTTACCCTACAAAATCGAAACGCGGTAATACTCATATTACTGCTTGGCGGCAGAAATAGGTAAGATGGCAGTACTTTCCTGGACGAACTCATTCACAAGCTCTACTGCTACTGAGGTCAAGGTCACTGTGGTACACGTGCAGTAATTAACGGTAAATGAGCGAATTCCGCCGACAAATGCATTGAATAATGGTGTTTTAAGTCTCCAACCATAAGTTGCTTTTATCGGTGTTATTGTACAAATAACTATTGGGAATTGTCAATTTTTTTTATTGCAATGTCGATACCCTACCAAAGCATAGAAATCTTTCATATTCTGTTTTGCGTGCGCAAATAATTAACATTTGAACGTTTTTCTCGTTGACTAAAAGTGGTGATCGTTGACCTCAGTTATTTCTGACGACATTTTACGTCATTTACGTTTAAATTCTGAATTTCCGAATAAACGTTACGTCATATTTGGTGGCTATCGTTGTAATTTAATATTATATTTGTAACAATTACTTACATTATTATTTATATTACTTACTTACATTATTTTGCTTTACATTTTTACTTGATACATAATATTTTCAGAGTTAGATATATGTATTTGCAATCGCTCACCATACGGTACTGGCAGAAAACCAGTTCTGCTTGACTTTTCACTGTCTACAGTGTTTATGCTGAGACTTATATTATGTTATATGATGTTTATGTTATATTTGTAACAATTACTTACATTATTATTTATATTACTTACTTACATTAATTTGCTTTACATTTTTTACTTGATACGTAATATTTTTAGAGTTAGATATATGTATTTGCAATCGCTCACCACACGGTTCTGGCAGAAAATCAGTTCTGTTTGACTTTTCACTGTATACAGTGTTTATGCTGAGTCAGAGCCATTTCAGCACAAACTGTAGTCATACATAAAATTTTGTGAAGTACTGAATAAACCTGTTATCTATCTATCAAATTTGCAGTTCAAAATGGTGATGGTAGCTAAAAGTGATTTACTTTTTACCAAGAAGAGATCTGGGTCCAGCTGCGCTTAAAACGCATTTGTGTTTAAATTTATAACTTTTTCTTTCAGCCAGCATACCATTCCTGACTTATGGAGTTGAAACAACAGCCCTTTCCACATCAGCTCATGCAGGCCACTTTGACACGTCTCCAGGAGATGTACCATGGAACACCACGGCCACAGTCCTGGCTGCTGCGCTGTCAGCTCCCATGTTTTCCATTCTTGTGGATCGATATGGGAGAAAGAGTGGCATTTATGTTATCAACTTGATGCAGGGGGTAAGATTTATCACCAGGCAGCGATAAGCTATCATTTAGTTACCAGTAGAGTTCCTTGTGAAAGAGTTCGTCCAGGATAGTACTGCCACCTTACCTGTTTCTGTCGCTAAGCAGTAATGTCAGCATTACTGTGTTCCGGTTTTGAAGGGTAAGTGTGCTGGTGAAATTACAGGCACATGGGACTTGTCAACTTACGCCTCAGGGTGACGGACGCGGTGGCAGTGCCCCTCAGATCTTTGTGATTTAAAGCTCTGAGTGGCACTGTAACTGTTATGGACAGGCGTGGTGTAGCTTACTATTAAGGTACGATACGACGAAAAATCAGATCAGAACAATCGTCTAATTTAAATTTGAGGATCAACAATTATCATTTTTATTATATCAAGTGATGGGACGACCCAGTCATGCACCGGGTGGTTAGCGGCACGCTTACCCATAACAATTGCAGTGTAACTCAGAGATTTCACCGCAGAGATCTTACAGACACTACCATGGTGCCTATTATCGTAATGCATGACGTCGGGGATGTAGCATCGGTAAAAGGCGCGTTTTTGCACTAAAACAAATTTCATAGGAGAGCGATTTAACATTATTACTTTGTTATTTCAATGGCTACGGTCATTGACTTACAATTATATGGACGTCGGGTCCGCGCTAAAAAGTGTCCGAACTTATAGGGCGTTAAAATCGTATACAGAGCATCATTCACGCTTTAGTCTTCGTTTGTTCGACTGACAGCAAAGCAAGCAAAATTAGACAGTACTGCGATGACATTACACTTTAAATTCAACCTTTTAGCTTTTTCATATTCCTTTACATGTCACTACGTTTAAATAGGTTGACTTAGGACATTTTTTTCGTGGTTTTTGTATTAGACCCGTCGTCCATTTATTTGTAAGTCAATGGCTACGGTTTTAATTTTTGCACAGTGAGCATTACATTATTTTCTCGACGGACTGAGAACAATAGATTTCCGTAAATCAAATGAATTTGGACGCCACGACATTTACGCGGATTTGTATTGGAGACTAAATTGCCGAAATGGAAACTGGTAATCCAATGCTAGTTATGTATATCCCCGATGGTCAAGTTCTTAAGGCCCATATGCCTGTAGTTTCACTAGCACCTTTCCAAAATCGGAAAGCAGTAAATCTAATATTTATTTATTAGATTTGCCAACAGAAATACACTAACAATTACATGGACATAAAATAACACTGATGAAATTAGTGGAGTGTAAACCCAATAATAGGCAATTACACCATGCTCATATAACATCGTATCTGACGCGTTTACAGTGTAAAATTACATACAAACAAATGGATATGATTGTAAACAAACAATGTAAACGTGTTTAAATTAACTTGTAAAGTTACTTTGTTTGTCAGACTGAGCAGTTTTATAATAAAGTTTTAAATTTATTTAATGTAAACGAAAACAAATCTAAATCAGCTGTACTTGTACTCACGGCAAATTTGGTTCAAAATAGCATTGGAGCCACTATTAGTTCTTAATTGTTTGGTATTAAATGGACGGTAATTACTTACTGCTTGAAAAAAGGCTTTTTCCCAGTTGTAACCACTGGCTTTGTTCCCACTGGCGACAAAAGGGAAAAAAACCCGTATATTACCAGATGGTGACAAATGGGATAAAAAAATCTTGTGTTGCCACTAGCGACAAATGGAATATACAAAATATACCAAATTGGAATATACCAAACAATAATTGGCAACTACTGGGATATTTTAAATGCCATTTGTCGCCAGTGAGAACAACAGACGTTTTATACTATATCTTCCCATTTGCTACCAGTAGAAATCACCACTAGCAACAACTGAGATTTTTTTATCCCGTTTGTTACCGCCTGGTAACATATGATTTTTTTCCCGTTTGTCGCCCGTGGGAACTGGGAATAAGCTGAAAATAGGTATATAGGCAGTACTTCCTTGGACAAACCGTTTCACATAGTAACCTACTGCTACCGACACACCTAGATATAAGACCAACATACTTTAAAATCCAACTTCGACTTCCTAGGTCAGTAGTTTTCTCTTAAACCATATCCGGAAATCCAGAATTCGAAAAAGTAATTAATTAATATTTGGTGGTTCTAACAACGGTACGTCACTACTTGTAGCTATATCTATATATGTATTTATATATATTATTATGTGAAACGCCTTTTTCCGACCATTGTACAAAACAAGGAAACTTAAATTGTACAATTCAATATGCGTCAGTGGTGCTGTTCTCCTAGTGATCAAACTTAAACAATTAATATTAGTTTAACAAATACAACGATAAATGACATATCTTTTCGCTTAGCTTATTTCTTAATGAAAACCTGCTTTTCAGATGAGCAATAGAATTATAAAAATATTGAGATTTTATGCGTTGAATATTAAAATGAAGTCATTCTAATGTTTCTAATGAAGGCTTGTTCGTCTCCTGACTTCAAAATCTTATTTGTAAATATCAAACTCCGTCCATCTTGTTTTCTTAAGGAAAAAATCAATAGACATCGTTAGTATAATCACTTAAATTGCGCCAATTGTGTACATGCCTTGATTTCCAAACTAATTTTCATTTATTTAATAACATAGACTAGACTGAAATATATTTTCGACGGTCACTTTATTATTCACCATGTGTATATTTATGACATTAATTACAATTGTATATTAGTGACAGTTTTTTTTAGATCGACATAACCGGTGTTATTCCAAATATTTGTAGAGTTTCCGGATAAAATACAAACAACAAACAAACAAAACAATTTATCAATGTGCACACATCCAACCTGTCAACTGAACATTGTAATATGAACTATGCAATTAACGAGTTACATTGTCATAAGTTTGAGATAACTGCATGTCGGGTACACATCGCCCTTTCTTAACTACTTTATGTTTGTTTTGGAAAAAATTCGAACCGACGTCTTCTAGTAAACCGTGCCAGACGCTATGCCAACTAAGTCACGGAACGAACCAGCAGACCTCACGAATTTTTCTATGTGCTTCTTTGTCGGATCTTTGTAACTGATGTTTAACAACTTTTTAGCCGTAACGTCATCAGTGAGAAATCTATGAAAGTATTTCGTCACCAAGTCAGGCACCTTTACAGCTACCAGCCCTGGCTAGAGATGTGGTTATTCACTGTAATTAAGTGTTTTATTGAATATCAGAATATTTCACCACCATGAATATCATGATATTTAATTGTTTTTTGTGAAATTACTCGACTAGTTTGTTATAATTATTAATACAAACCGAAGGCTTGTAGCAGACCGTGGCAGACGCTATACAAACTTTTAGTTTATCATTAAAAAGAAACTTCTTATATTCGCCGTTAATTAACTTTACCAAACACACGCGATCGACATAACGGTCACCACTAAAACACATATTTGTTGAATTATGACATGGTAATATCAAAACTAAACAACTATCACATTTCATCTTATAATAGTTTACAACATCTTATTACTAGTGTCAAATATGGCGGATCTTGCGCTCCCATATTTTTTTATTTTTTTTAGAGTCAATTGAATTACTTCTAATAAAATATGATAATGGAATGATATTTATAACAGTGATACGTTATTTTAATTGTATATTTTTATTTAACTTAATAATCATAATTCACATAGCATTATTCGAAATAGTAACTGCGTAAGAACAATAGTTGTTTAATGTTGAAGTCAAAGAACTTTTATTTTACGAAAATAGATTATCTTGTTTAATATATTTGAAGTAATGTACTTTAAATATGTATTAAATATTTTAATAATTTGTTTTCACACTACACACACTTATACCTGTATGTATATATTGCAAAGATTATGTAAGTATTTATTCGATATAAGAGTACACACTGCAATAACACTATACACGATATGATATAAGTATTTATGTAGTTTATTTTTTTTTCTGTTTCGGGACGCATACGTCCGTCACTCTCAGTCAATATAGTATTATGTAACTTGTTGTTGAAATGTTTTTACGCTGTTCTTTGTGTTATTTCTGTTTTAGTTATATTAGTCTTTGTTTTTGTGTTTATTTTTATAATGTGGCGTTACAATAAATGGTTTCTATTTCAATTTTAATAATAACACTTTCGCGCATGCACAGCGGTATCACAGCGAGCCATCACATACCGAGTAATATCGTAGAGAAAGACTGCGACTTACATGAAGAGCTTATATAGCTTGCTTGTTTTGTTTATACTCGTCTTCGAGCACAACCTAGTCGGCACGTATTGGATCTTTTCATTGTCTTTCCTAAATTCGGCGGCCGAACTTAATTTTGTATAAAAAATTATGTCTTGTCGTATATTTGTGTGCGTCACGTGTAAATGTAGTGCATAAAACCTATTCATACGGAGTTCTCGTACGATATTTTACACGATCGTACCATGAGATTGTGAGGCTCTGCGTTAGGCAGCGAGACGCGTTGCCAATTTTGTGCATTAACATTGTCCGCAACTACTAACTGTAGCCGTAACAACGTTGTGGAGCTCTATTTAAACGCAAAACGCGCCATTGTTAAATTGTAAAATAAAAATGAATTAAGTATTTATTGGAGAATATTAGAGCAGAATTCGGTATTATGTGTGTTACTTTTGGCTAGGCTAGCTGTGCCTATTTGCCTATATATGAGATGCACGCTGGCCACAGCATGACGCCAAGAATAAGCTACGGCATAAGCTTGGTAGCAAGAGCACAATGTCCTTTATAATAATCTCGACGTGTAAAGAAGTCGTATGCTTGATATAATAAAGCCACATATTATTATGATCATACATCAATTTATCACAGGAAAATCATAAAAATGGTAGAATTCAAACAATTTCTTTCGTAAAATCTTTACCTGTCTCCTAAAATTTTGTCTACTTGCAAATGTGGCCTATTTATAAGTACTTTTTCTCTCTTTCAGGCTTCTTGTATTCCTCTTTTTCTACCAGCATCGTTTACTAGTCAGATCACCCTCCACGTCATGGCCGGCGTCGCTTCTGGAGGTCTCTTTACCGTCATACCGACCTACATTAGAGAGATAAACAATAGTCATAGAGCGGTAATTTAAATTTCATTACCTACTTGTGTCTTGTCATGTTCTATGAGCACCTGAGCAACGGAACTCACTCTGAGGGACAACCAGAAACTCTCTGGTCAGTTAATTTTCGTAATTGGTCTTGGAAATCGAACCCGTGACCTCCTCAAACCGTTGAGACTTGAAAGAGTTTAGATTGTACGATAACTTTAATAAAATTGATAACTTATCAGTATTCCTGTTGCTGGTGTAAACAGAGATCTGGTATTCAATTCAAACCAAATTTTACAATTTTGCATCTACTGCCCCTTGACCGTTAAATTTAAAAGGCAGGCTGATGTTCAGCATGAAACAAATGTCAAAATCTATTAATTTCATTTCTAACAACTGGAACATAGAGATCGACATTTCACTTTGAAGGCCAGGCTTTTGAGTTTTGTGGAACGAACTCTGGTCTTTGATGTCCTTGAATGCTGAATCCTGAAAAATGATATAAGGCAATAACGCATACAATTGCAATTCCAGGTGTTCCTATCCCTGATGGTGGTAATGGCAAATGCAGGCTATATGACGGAGTTGATAATAGACTTGGAAGCTATGATGTTTGTCATGGTGGGGTTGGTGGCAGCTCAATTTTTGTCATTGTTGATAATGATGGAAACGCCAAGCTATTTGGTCAAAGTTGGGAAGACAGATGTAAGTAAAAACTAAAATATATATGGGCACATGGAACTTGTTAACTTATGTCTCAGAGTGACGAACGCAGTGGCAAAGCTCTGAATGGCAGAACACCTGTTACGGATAGGTGTATTTGTACGGATAGGATAGGTACACGCACACACGCACGCACACACGCACGCAACACACACACACACACACACACACACACACACACACACACACACACAGACAGACACAAACACACACACAGACACACACACAGACACACACACAGGCACACACACAGACACACACACAGACACACACACAAAGACACACACGTCTTGTTCCAATTATTAAGTTTTTTAATGACTTATAATAGCTTGCTAAACTAGTGCAATACATAAAATTTTTACTGTTACGTCTGTGGTATAGAGGCCTGGTGATCCATAACACAGGCTTTACCAGTCTCCCATTGTAGCATTATTTATATCTATATTTTTACAAACTGTCATTGTAATCTAAGTAAATTATTGGGGGCTATTAGGAGCTATTGATTTTCTATTATATCATGTTGTTGATACATAACCTGTTTGCCAGAAATGCTTTACTTGCTCCGTCCTAATGCGTACGGCAAAGGAATGAATACATTACCAGCATCTGTGTTTCCCCAAAAGTACAATTTAAGGCTATTCAAAGCTAAAGCGAATAGGCATGATATCAATTCATCTCTTAACGTATATTTATACAAATATGTAAAATATTATTTGAATGATCAACTAAGAAACACCGAAACAAAACCGTGCAGCCTGGTAGACTTGACATTTGAGTTGGCAAAAAATCACTGAAAAACAACCATCACACACGACACGGTAGTCTATCTCCCGATCCCACTTTTAAGACGAGATAGAAGACTAGAACACTCCGCCATTCATAATCAGCAACAACAGACGCAAAATCGAAGGTATCGATTCGCCCCATAGGTTTGCTTGTGGTTCGAGGTTAGTTTACTTTGCTCCCGTCACACCCTTATTTTCCACAAACACCAAGTTTAGTACATACTGTTACTATAGTAATTTATTAGCAGCAGAGCAGTAGTACTGGTTTTCTTTAGCACCGCAATTCAAGTGACAGAGACCGTCGTCCGAGTTTTTTAAAGTAGTATATAAAAAATTCTGAGAATCCATTTAAAGTTGTGACAATTTTTATTCCTGACATTAAAACTCATATTTCCAAGTCATGCTTTTCAGTACGTCTCAAAATATTACTTTACATTTTGACACTTGAATACATTGTGTGTGATGTTTTTTTAAGAATTTTCCTGGAGCTTGTGGGAGAAATCAAAAATTAAGTTACTTAGTCCTAGTAGTAAAATGTTTAAATACATATTATGTCCGCCGAAGGATGCCCGTAAAACTTAAAGGGCTCGTGTACAATAGTATCATTAAACTTGTGCTTATTTACGCGCGCGAAACCTGGACTGGACACAGCGCCACGTCCATACTATCCAAGTGGCGGAGATGAAGATGCTCGATGGATGTTTGAAGACGCTTTTTTAAAACTCTTTATTAAATTATTTATTAAAAAATAATACGGGTCCTAAAGACGCTAGAAGTCCCTGAATATTTATTTCTAACCAAATATTTGCCTTTAAGGGGACATTTATAAAATTCCCTAGATCTAGCGACTATGTCCCTAAAATGGCTTCACTGGCGGGCGAGGACAAACCAGCAACTAATGGCGCATTTACACCAAGTCGTTAGTTGACTTACGCTTGCCCGCCTCGCCTTCGGCAAGACGACGTAGTCTGCCGAAAGCGGCAGACGACTTGGTGTAAACGGCGAGTCGACTGCATCGCGTTTGGCGAGCGAAATAGTCTGCCGAAGGCCGGCAGACGACTGTGTAAACGACGCGTAGACTACATCGTGTTCGGCAGACGACCTGGTGTAAATGCGCCATAAACCGAGTGTACGCGGAAGGAGCGCGATAAGGTACCGAGCGCGGGCCACTCGAACGCGCAGTTTGCGTCGATGCCATAAAATATGCATGAAAAATCTCGCCCGGAATTTGTGCTCGCGTTCAGCCACCACTAGTGGCCAAATGGGCTGGGGTGGCTTTATGTAAACGACACGCAAGATCGTGGTCGATGTGAGTGAGATTCGCAATGGGTAAAGTCACTTGATAATTTCTTGTTCCATCCAGAGTTTCTTTCTTAGACACGAAAGAAAGTACCAGTGATGGCATAATATGAAAATATGAGTAAGAATAATAAATAGCCAACGAATTGTATTATTGCATCACTCCATGTGCTGTTTGTTCTTAATTTCGCACGCTATATAGCGAAGGGCTAATTAAAAAAAATATGGGGGTACCAAGTACGCAATATCCTGTAACATTCCTATAATAATATTACACATATTAGCACTGCAAGCAGGATTTTCATTCGTAATATCGGCGACGTGATATTGCGAAGAATATCATTTATATAGCCACTTATTTTATTCCAAAGAGTACCATTGACATTTTACTTGTTAACTAAAGCTTTTTTTTATGATAGTAAGCCGTGACAGTGGCAGAGCCGTTCAGTGTTTTAAATCGCAAAGATCAGAAGGACACAGCCACCACGCCCGTCACCCTGAGACATAAGTTGACAAGTCTAATGTGCCTGTAATTTCACTACGACCCTTAAAATCCAGAACGCAGTAATACTCCTAATACTACTTAGCGGCAGAAATAGGTCAGGTGTTTTCCTGGACGACCTCTTTCTTAGGGAGCTCTACTAATGCTAAATTTAAAATAAACATGAAGTTAGTGATGAAAACTTCGTTCCTACACTTTTATTTCCAATGGATTTTTGAACAGAGTAATATTACGTCAGGTAGTTTTTAAATACCCCAAACTTTATTCGTAACGTAATAAATATAAGTCTAACTTTAAATTGTTTTGACATTTCTTGTGCCAGATACATTGACTTACAAATAAATGGACGACGGGTCTAATACAAAAACCACGAAAAAAATGTCCCAAGTCAACCTATTTAAACGTAGTTACATGTAAAGGAATATAAAAAAGCTAAAACGTTGAATTTAAATTGTAATGTCATCGCAGTACTGTCTAATTTTGCTTGCTTCGCTGTCAGTCGAACAAACGAAGACTAAAGCGTGAATGACGCTCTGTATACTATTTTAACGCCCTATAAGTTCGGACACTTTTTAGCGCGGACCCGACGTCCATATAATTGTAAGTCAATGATTAGAGCCAACTAGAAGGGAAGGAATGGGATTACATCAACTGCATATGTGTTTCCCGAAAGCTGTGATTTGGGGCTATTTAAGGTTAGAATTAAAAGTCGATACAACCTCGAATGGCTTTGGTTGATTCCGCATAACAAGAAATTGTCGAATCAATCACTGAAAAAATATATAGCATAACTTTAAAAAAAAAACCGACCTCAAAAATTCGTGGAATTGTCAAGTTTTATTGAAATCGCTTACCGGAAAGTGCACGAAACCGAATTCCTCCCCTTGTTTGCTACCCTTAAAGGTGGAATATTGCCACCAATTGCCGGAGTTATCGCGTAACATACATACAAAAAAAAAAAGAAAAATGCAGTCGAATTCAGAACCTCCTCATTTTTTTTGAAGATTCTTAAAAATATTCACAATAGAAAAAAAAACACAACCTTACCTCGAAATTTCACAAGAAAACCGCTGTGTTCAATAAGGAATTTACATATACCAATGATTTTTTAACCGACTTCAAAAAGGAGGAGATTCTTTTTTTGTTGGAAAGAGGGTACTTCCATAGTGGTCCCATTTCATTTTAAAGAAAATCATCCACCTCGTAGGATAACTGTTCACGCATGAAGATTCATTTTTATAAATAGCGCCTAACTTTAATTTAGGAGCAATTACTTTAATGGTTGATTTTGCTATTTCTCAAATTCAAGGCGTTTTTCTCTCAATATACTTTGAGTAGTGACAACCGATTTTTATTATCTCCAGTGTCAAGTCCTGTATAGTGGCGATCTAGGGGATATTTCAATAAGGTCGGTTTTTTAGTACTCTCTATTGAGATTATTATTATTTCGTCTGAACGAAATAGAACACGTATACTAATATGATATACATTTTTCAAATGGTTTTAATTTCGTTTGTAATAGAATAAATTCTGAAATAAAATCCAGTGTATCGATTCTTAATGTTAGAACTGATTAGAAAATAATATATATAACCCAGAAACAAAAGTCGTGTTACAGATGTAGTCTGACTGTTCAGACTTGGCTAATTTGTTCTGTATCTTTTTAGGGTTGTGTTTATTTTTATTGCTGCTAATATTTGGAATTTATTCATTCATTTTATCTTTATTGCTTGCCACATGGTTTCACATTAGATCAGGAGAGCACTACAAATTATTAATTACAAATATAAATATCTCTCATTTCATTATATCATTTATCTTTCAGATAGCAAAGAAAAACTTGGCGGAACTATATTGCCTCCAAGTAGACGATGCGGCTGTGTCAAAGGAACTACAAACTTTAAAAGACGAGATGGACAGAGTGTTTGTGACAAAATTCCACTGCTTTGGGATTTGTAAGTGCTTTCATTTTCTGTCATATATATGTTGACGCATGAAGGAAACGTGACGGGTCCATAATAAAATAAGTCCAGATGGTTGTTGGATATCAGTTTATTCTTCGAGGTTTCAGACAAGAATGAATAAAACGGTGCGACGCTCGGGTATTTATAGGACGATCAAAACAAGTTTCCAGGTGGGCTGTTAGGGTTGTGGCGTGACAAATGACTGCACGTGTTTCGTTGTTTTGATCGTTTTAAAAAACACAACGAGACTATAACTAGTTCGTAATACTAATTAATAATTATAATTACAATTAAATAGGTATTTTCATAGGTAGTAATATGACATAACAATTAATTATACAGTGCAAACCTCGTGTGTTTATATGCGATCAAAACAAGTTGCAAGGCTTTTTGTTTTGATCGTTTTTTTTTAAACACCACGAGGCTGTAATTAATTTGTAGTATAATAATTAAATAACATAATTTAATTATATAAGAGCTTATTACATTAAGGTATTTAATTTGAAAATAATCAACAATAATTCTATTATTTAAGCTAAATCGCGGGTAAAAAAGTCGTAGGCGCTATCATATATATATAAATAGAAGCCGCATGTATACCTACTTCGCATGCCCAATGTAAGTTAAAAACTCTTAGTTGCCGCTACTACGCTTCAGAACGCGCCCGGCCGTTATCGTAGTTAAACATTGGCCGAGAAGGCAAAAAACACCACAACTATGAATAGATGTATATACAGGGACGTTTTCTTCCTCAGTTAAGTAATTTTGTAATCAGAATATCCTTAATTTATTTTGAATTCAATTCTTCTCCGTTTGAATGAACTTCGAGAAAACAAATATGCAAAAGAGTACATGCCGCATTCGTAATACATTGCGCCTTTTACTTGGTGCGGTACACATATGGTCCTTCTTTAGTAGCCCATGAATAACAAACGAGCGAAACTTTCTTATAATACATTCAGTTTCGTGGTACGGTCACTTCGTCATGTTATTTACGATTAGTGATGTTCACTTGATGCAACACTGTTATTGATTCTGATCGATTTAGGAAACAAAGCGATAATAATTCTTAAGACCTTAGAAATTTTCATAAAAATATTCATTCATTCTTATTTCACGGCTTCTTATAATCAATTAGTACTTGAAAAATCATTATTCTAAATACGTGGTTCGCGTTTTCGGTGTGATCAATCGCTTTAGTGCCGAAGGAGGTTTCTTGTCACTAAATAGCGCTTGTTACGTCATCGGAGATACAAAAACTGTACCACGCTTTGTTTTCATACAGATAGCGGTACTTGTAGTGTCTATTTAGATATATATATCTGTCGAATTCACCTAAATCAGGTGCTGAAATATTGCCTCATTCAATGACTTGACGACCCCGCCGAATAAATAAGTTTTATCAGTTACTATTCTATAACGGTCTACCAAAAAATATACGAGATACCTAAGTATATTGTCTAAAGTATGTGCTACTTTGTTACATGATAGGATGTACTACACCCGATCATAAGAAAGGATTTCAAACAGACTAAAATTAAAATTTTGAAACGAATTATTTCAGAACAAAATATCTATGTTTATATGGAAATATTTATATTTAAGTACTACAGAGAACCTGCTACATTTTGGTTTTCAGCTGAAGAATTTATCCCAAAATTTGAAAATTGCTTGTTTAACGATGCGCCCCACCTCCCGCTGCCCCGTCATTCGCCATCGGGCGCTTGTTGACGTGGGATCTGTGTCAAATTTTCTCCGCCTATTCTTATCGGTTAAAAAACCGACTTCAAAAAAATTATTAGGTTCTCAATTCGACTGTATATATGTTACGCGCTAACTCCGGTATTTGTGAACCGATTTTCATGATTCTTTTTTTGTTGGAAAAAGGGTACCTCCATAGTGGTCCTATTTCATTTTGAAGAAAATCATCTACCTCTAAGGGTGCTGTACACGCATGAACATTCATTTTTATAAACAGCGCCTAAATTTTACTGAAAGAGCAATTATTTTAATGGTTGGTTTTGTTATTCTCCAATTCAAGGCGTTTTTCTCTCAATATACTTTGAGTAGTGAAAACCGATTTTTATTATTTCCTGTGTCAAGTCCTGTATAGTGGCGAACAAGGGGATATTTCAATAAAACTTGGCAAATAGATGTAATTCCACGTACTTTTGAGGTCGGATTTTTTTAGTACTCTGTACTGAGATTATATTCATATCAATATATACAGCGCGTGAGTTGCAGGACGCGCGGGGCGGTCCCCCACACCTCACCTAAAATCAGGTTTTCCGACATCTGACTTAAAAAAGTCCAAGTTATGGCGTTCGGGGAATAAGTCCGCAGGTAGGGAATTGCACTCTCCAGCCGCTCGCCACACAAATGTGGAAACGAAACGCTTCGTGTGTATCCTGGGAATATCCAACATAGGGGTGGAATCCCAGCCCACGTCTAGTCGTCTGATCATGGAAAGAAGAAGGCGGAATCAAATTCTGCAAATCCGTCACACACTCTCCGTGATATATCCTGTTGAATACCGATAAGCAGGCAACTTTACGAATGTGTTAAAGGCTCTGCAGCTTCGCCTCTACTAATTCCGAGTCACCTATAGCCTTTGGCACGCTTATCGATTGAATCCAAGGTGACCAGTTGATATTTAGCAGAGCCATCTCATTAGTGGCAACCGACGACCGGACTTGTGCTTGGTACAGCTGAAGGAACTGTCCCGGTGCAACAAACTCGTAAACAAATTCGTAAGATCTGACTAGGTCTATAGTTCAGTTAATTATGAACGGTGGCGTCGGCATGGCAACGAACACTGGTTCGAGTCCAATCAGATCGAAGGATCTTTTCTTTGTGTTCAATGATAAACTTTTTCCTTAATGAATACGAAATGTTGTTTTAAAGAACTGTCCGAAAAGAGTCTAACTTTATGCAAATTCTTCAAGTCATTAAAACATTTTCTATTGTTTTTAAAATTCGTAAGGCTCAACTTACACTGGCTCAGAGTCCAACCGTCGCGCCGCGTACTATTTTCAACCTGTTTCCTATTCCATATATCCTATTTTTCAACTTTAAATTTTCAACGCTTGGCGACGCGCGTCGACACGCGACGTCCCCCGTTTCCATATTTGCATAACACAAGTTTGTACCTTAATAATGGGAAAATAGAGATGAATATAGTATAGGCGAGAAACATGACGCGTCGCGACGCTTCGACTCTGGCCATTGTGAGTTGAATCTATCACTACGAAATGAACTTTCAATATATAAAAAAAACAGTTTTTTCTCAAATATGCTCGGAAATGTTTGCATTACTTTCAAAAAACGAACACGGGAAGTTTGTTATATAAGGACCGTGTGAATTCTTTCCGGCCAAGGCCTGAAAAATAAGTAGAAAATCCGACGTGACGGGTGCACGATCTTTCACTTGCGTTCCGCGTTAACGCGTCTCTCGCTTGCGCCGGCCGCTTGCGTTGCGCGCCTATTTTAAAACAAGAGGCAATATTAATAGGGTTTAATATTCATTTACTCTTTTCCCCACATTGTTTGAGAAAAGCACTATACATGCCTCGGCGGTAACGGGAATTGCATGACGCGTATTAATTCGTCCAGCAATCCGTTACTTTCCGGTCTCTGCAATAATGTACTATATCAACATAAAACTGAGCGGTATTATTCTTTTCTTTTTTGTATAAAATTTTCTTGACAACAAACAGTAACGATATTATCAAATATCTGTCTAGTTCGCTATGTGGCAGACAGATTAGACGGCCCGGAAGACTGACTGTCTTCTTAACTTACTGTTGATTTATGACAAAAATAACACGACAAACATTGGAAAAATAAAGTTTGATTTTCATTTGCCACGACATGTTTACTCATGTTGGTTTTTCATATGACAGTTTTCTTTTTACGTAAAGAAATTACTACTTATTTAAAATATAAAACGCTTAATACATTTACGTTTTCCGCTATGACAGTAAGCAAAAGAATTCGTACTGATACCTTACTTGTTTCTGCCGCCAAGTAGTAATGTAAGCGTTACTGCGTTACGGTTTTGAAGAGTACTTAAAGGTGCTGGTGAAATTATAGGCACAAAGGATTTGTTTACTTATTTTATTTATATTTTTTATTTTATTTATTAGGTTCATCAACAGTTGTTACATCAAATAACATGTTCAATTTGCATTGATTAGTATTAAGCCAAGATGCACAACTAGTGACAGATGAAACTGCAACTTGCATTGAGCAGATTAGTCTTAATATTTAAGTACTATGAAATCGAATACAATTACAAAAGAAACAAAACAATACAAATAATTGATAGATTAAAAACATGAAAATTAATAATAATACTTATAGATAAGATGTTTACATGCTAATTATTGCTCTGCGGAGACTGGTTAGCGAGTCCGAGAACATATCCACTGTGGCACTATGCTCATTGTGTCATTTAGACAGACTGATGAGTTCAGACCTAGTTTAGTTCTTCTAAATGGTGGCCACAGAAGGGCAACAATTCATTGCTGTCAATTGCGGACAATCAATTTTGTTATTTAAAATTTTGTGTAAGAAACTAAGGTCCAAAAGATCTCTGCGCTTTTCAAGCGATACCATTTGAAACATTTTCAGTCTCGATTTATATGAGCGAATTGTTTTAGTCGCTTATGTCTCAGAGTGACTGGCGCAATGGCAGTGCTTTTCAGATCTTTTCGATTTCACAGGAGTGTCGTAAGCTATCAGACGCATGACTTGTTTATCCCGTTACTTGTAGGGCTAGAACAACAGGGCGGAACTTGCGCGAGAGCGACAATAAGCGCGAGATCCCTATGCAAGAATAGTAGTATCGTGCTAGCCCTATTGGTATCATAAAAATCTCTGTACAAAGTACTAAAAAATCTACCTCAAAAGTCATTCGTCCCCTGGTTTGCCATCCTTAGAGGTGGAATATTTTTTTCAAATTGAAATGGTACCACTACTGAGATATCCTCTTTCCAACTAAAAAGAATCAACCAAATCGGGTCACAAATGCTGGAGTTGAGAATTGAGAACCTCCTCCTTTTTTTGAAGTGTGTTAAAAAGAATATCGATAGACACTCTATTCACTAATTATATATAACACAGATATAGATTAAAAACAAAAGAAAAAAGCCTTCATGTTGTAGCAACGCCCACGTTCTGGCGAACTAAAAACTCAGTTAGAAAGTGCTCTATGTGTTAGCTGTACGATCGTTTTGTTGTCTGTTTTGTTATAACATTCTATAATTTTTGTCAACCAATTATATCAATACATAATACATCGCACTGTTGGTCATAAAGTAACGAAAGAAATGAAATTATTTTTCCGGATTTAAATCGCGTATATTTGTTTTATCAAACATACCAACGTTTTGGGCCCTTTACATTTAGGTCCCATGATCACGGTCACAGTCAACCGCGATCATGGTTAGTTTCATTTCCTATGTGTAACAATCGCGAAAACCTAAGAACTTAATAAATTGTATTTATTTCCACACACTTTTACAAAAATTACAATTACATATTATTATATATATAGATGTATTATTGTATATATTATGGTATTATATAGATGAAATGGTATTAGAAATACATTACCTCCATGTTTGGATATATTATTCGCTTTGAGATTTGAACACTTGAATGTGTCACTACCGAGCAGAAAATAAATGTGTTTGTCTATTTTATACTGAAAGTAAACGACAGAAAGGCAATTTATTTCTTGTATGTTACAAGAACTTGCATTTATCTCCAGTGCAGTAGGATGGCTGTTTGTTTCGACGTAATATATTAGGTCCAACAAAATTTACTGTAACAATTTTACGGCCACGTTCATTGCATGAAAACAAACAGCTAGAAGTTTCAGAAGCATTAAAATAATACTTTACTTGGCCATTTTATCTTCCACTACTATCTTTAGTCGAAGATTGTTTGTTTTATGATTATGATAAAATTGCAAAGACCAAAGGAGCAGTCGCTGCTTCCATGAGACTTGTTTTAAGTTTTAAGTCTTACACTATCGAGTTCTTAGGTTTCGATTGTTACACATAGGAAATGAAACTATTTTTCCGGATTTAAATCGCGTATATTTGTTTTTTCAAACAAACCGACGTTTCGGGCCCTTTACAGGTCCCATTGACCGTGGTCAACCGTGACCATGGGACCTGTAAAGGGCCTGAAACGTCGGTTTGTTTGAGAAAACAAATATACGCAATTTAAATCCGGAAATGTAGTTTCATTTCCTAAGTCTTACACTTTTTTTTTCAAAAAGTATTCATGATTCCTTTTTTTTCCAGTGAAGAATCCAATATATAGAGATGCGACAAAAATAGGCGTAGTTCTCTATATATCCTTAGTTCTTTGTGGAAGTATAGCATTCCTGGACCACGATAAAGTGTTGGCTCAGTTGAAAATGACCTTCGGATTGGAGAAAACTTTGCTTTTGAGCAGCATGTTCGCTGGAAGTGTCTTTTGTTTATGTATTGTGCACTTTGTTGAAAGAAAAGTGAGTAATATATCTTGGTTCCACTAAACTAAGCTATTGCAGAGAATTAAATTTCTATTCTGATAAGACTAATGTTGACAATGGCCTCTAAGGTTTTCGAAATAGTTGTGCATTGGAAAATTGGAGTGTTTTAGGCCACTGAGCCGCACAAAATTGAGACGAGTTTGTAAATGTAGACTCTTGGACTTGAGTTTTTTTTTACAACACTAGTCTAATGAGAGTTTATGCTATAGATGCTATAAAGGAGAACCATTTGCAGCAATAGGACGTATAATTGGTTAGCAATGACGATGACTTAAGAAAGTATAAAAAGGCTGGTTAAGGACCATTTGATGAAATATGGTAACATCAAAATTCCAAATGACTTCGGTAGCCTAACGGCTTACACTGTGGCTGCTAGAAGAGAAGGATATCGGGTTCGATTCCCGGTAGAGCCCATTTTAGAAAGGAACTTTTGTAAATTAGTACCGGTCCTTGTGTTCTGGTTCTTGATTTGAGTTTTGAGTTAATTATTGTGAAATATCTGGGAATGCATTTAGACCGTAACCTGGAAGAAACACTTTCAAACCAAAAGAGATGAGATCAAATTGAAATTTAAAGGGTTCCTCTGCCTGATCGGGTGAAATTCAAAACTGGTTATTGACAACAAAATATAAATTTTGATCTTATGGCATACTGGGGCTCTGGGGCGCTGCTAGCAACTCTAATGTAATGATTCTCCAAAGGGTGCAGAGCAATAGTACTCTGACCAATATCAAATGTGCCATGGTTTATATAAGCAAAGGAGATCTACGAATTTCTTGACATTCCCACAGTTAGAGAAGAAATAGCTTCCTGGTGAGAAATACAGAACCCGGCTACAACACCACCCAAATCAACTAGCCAAACAGCTCACTATGCTTGAAAGTATAAGACGACTAAAAAAAGGAGTGACATCTTTGACCACGATAGTCAGCAAAATATCTGACGACACAATATGCAGGGCTCGGCTCCACTGCGGGGTAGCACCCTTTCCGTCATTATATTACATCCCATCTTTTCTCTGGGTATTGACTTAGAATTCACTTCTTACAATAAAAATTCACATAGGCAAAATGTCGATCGTAAATCGGTCTTCGAGGAGGTAGAGCGAAACATCTAATGTAATCCGGTTCATTATGAACAATCTCCTCAGTCAAAGCACTTTTCATTTTGGACTCTTGGTTCAAAAGGTTACTAATGTATCCTGAGGGTAGGCACCGCATCTACCCATTAACTTAATGGCTTAGAGCAAAGGTCCTTAAGAAAATATAGGTTTGTTTTGGGTCATATTATCATTCAACGTTGTCTCATAGTTAGTTAAAAGAAATTTGTTAATCCTGTACATTTCACGCTATTATTACGTATCGGTCGTAAAGAGTAATTGTGTTGGTGGAATTGCAGGCACATGGGGCTTGTTAATTTTATGCTTCAGAGTGACGGACTCAGTGGCAGTACACCTTAGATCTTTACGCAATTACACACAGACCAAAAAACAAATTTAGATAAAAATGTCACTTAACCGGGATCTCCTCATTTAGCGCATACAGGCCAAACCGTTGTGCCACTGAGGCTTTTTTTGAGTATAAAACAAAAAACGACAACATGATTTATTTCCAGTACATCCTGACCTCTGGATTCGTGATCATGGCACTCTCAACAGGGGTCTTAGCAGTCTATACCCAAGCTGACCTCACAGTGGATTCCCTGCAGTGGGTTGCAGTGGCCTCCCTTGGTGTCCTTGTCTTCGGATTCGGGATGTCCTGGGGATTACCTGTTGTTATCATGTGTGAAATTTATAATTTGAAGGTAAGGATTATCAATGCGTTTCAGTGTTTAAAATCATTCAAATTATTTGTTAATGGAAGACCTTCGAGATCATGATAAAGAAGGAGCACAGAGCATTGTCAGTACGGACGAACATGTTGGCCAGCAGATTTACTGCAATCACTAGCTACTTGCAAGCGGGGAATGAACTGTCATTTTACTCCATCTTCAAAAACGACAGACTATAGTTTGTACGTTAGACAATTGATACAAAGTTCATTATTGTTAATGTAAGATGAAAGTAATGGTTTTTGAAAGAGAGGAAGATATGACGAATTGCATGATTTTGATTGAAGTAGATAAAGCGGAACAAGTGAAAGAGTTTGTGTGTTTGGTTACTATGTTTACGTATGATGGAAGATGTGAAAGTGACATTGAAACTGGAGCGAAAGCAGGGAATCAGGTTAATAGTGCTTTGCATGCCTTCATAGGCAACCAGAAATTGTCTAAAAATGCACGAATGTCTGTGCATGGGGGTGCTGGTTCCTACAGTTATGAATGGTAGTTAATGTTGTGTTTGGCAAAAGAAGCACGAAATTAGAATTAATGCACACAAAGATGGAGAACGTGTAAGCATCCTTTGGTTCGGATATGTAGAGAGAATGAATGAAAGAAGACTGACGAAACAGATTTATACGGCGAGGGTAAGTTGGTATGGGTCGACCAAGGCAAACTTACCATGACCAAATTGAGACCATCCTAAAGAAGTGCCAGGTCAAGAGTACAGTAACCTATCACAAACTCGAACCGAATTATAACGAAACCGTTGTTCTTTCAGGATATGTTGGATATTTATCACAAAGACACGATTAAGTTATGTTAAGTTAGGTTTAAAAGAAAAAATATTTTCCTCTCAAAATTACTTTCGAGGTTATGAAAATTCGAGCATACGTTATTTCTGGAAAATGTCATTTCGGACTTCTGATAGGTAACCACCACTCTTAACCGAAGAGCATGTATGAAAGCACTAATGCGTGTTGATGAGGCGAGAGAGATGTGTGTCAGGACTGTAGCAAGTGGAAGACTGTTGCCTCTGCCTGCCCCGATGGGAAAAGGGCGTGAGGTAGATGTTTAAAGTTCATTATGCTATATACAATTTTATTACAAAAAAATTGTTATCACTCGCTCTCGGCAATGTAAATTGCAACCGTATTCTAACTTGATTCCTGTTTTAGAATTTACAATATTGTCTAAAAACCTTTTTGAATTTAAATAATTAATAGATTCTAACGTTACTTTGCGGAAATCCATGATATACAAAATTAATGTAAATTACTTTACTGCTACGCGAACCCATTGAAGATTAAACCGAGTAAATTAGCGCTGTTTTGAATTTTTTTTTCATACAGTTATTTTAACAAGTTCGTCGCCGGCTACAATTTACAAAAATATTCAAAAAATGACATTAGCTCATGTTATTATGATTGTTTTTGCTCTCATTTGTATACGACGGGTAAGTTTCTAGATCTCGTACCTCAATTATTAATGTGAACTTTTGAGTAGGCACAAAAAACAGATTTACTACAATCTCAGTACAGAGTACTGAAAACCGACCTCAAATGTCATTCATCCCCTAGTTTGCCACCCTTAAAGTTGATATATTTTCTTCAAATTTAAATCGTACTACTACTGAGGAACAAAAAACAAAAAAGAATCATCAAAATCGGTTCATAAATGCCGATTATATGACAATCTGTGATTATACTTTTTATTTGTAACTAAAAAGTGTCCAGAAATTATGCTTTTAACCTTTAATTTAGCTATATTGCGCTTGAAGAGTAAAAATGAGATGTCGCCCAAAACGGAGTGTGCATGTGTAGTCTTTCGCGATTTTTTTTTATTAGACGCGACCTAAACGGAATAATTATTATTACGTTTACACCACGTCGGTCACAATGCCGGGCTGAGAGGTTTGTAGCAGGAGTACGTACACGTAACGTTCGATCGATGCTTACCTAAAATCTGACATAAGTCTGTTGATTTAAATTGACATTTTTTTTCTTTAATTGATTTTTTTCTACGAGTAGAAAAACAGGTACTAAAAAGCCATCAAAAATCTTAAAAACCAAGTGACAAAAGAAGTTTATTAAGGTCGGTCATGTTATATTGCTAAATACGTAACGTTTTACCTGCTGCGGTGTGAACGGATATCGCAGACTCAGGTGTGTCGTACACGACCCCAATAGGTTGAATAGGTATCGGCCATTTTGACCCACCACGGCGATGAACGTGTTACAACCGTTGCATTCGCGGCCGAAGAATTTCTTTAGCCGAGCTTCGATCAATGAACAAAAAAATTCAATACAAGTGCAGCTATTTTGCACCATTTAACCTTTACTGTTTTTGCGGAATAGTAGTCTTAGTATTTTTTTGTTTCAGATTCGACCAACAATGCTCGGATTCCTCTACACCCTATCTCAATTATTAAAACTTATCCACGTAACCACGTACCAATATATAGAAGATTATATGGGATTGTATATAGTTATGTATATATTTGCTGGTGTCAATATATATGCCGGTGTATATTCAATGTTCAAAATACCCGATTTAAAAGGGAAGACAGTTAGGCAAATTGAGAGACAATTGAAAAGAGTACCTTTGCTACATTTTAATGTAATTAAAGTTTAATGTTTTTAGATGTGATTTTATTTATATATTTGGATGGAGGCACATCAATCGCTCTCCAACTGGGGCTCATTTCTCCTAATTTTCTTGAAACCACTTGTCATTTTAATTCCATTGAGATTATAACAATACTTGCTATTTTGTAAAAATTTAGTTGCAATGGCAGTTGAGTCTCAGTGGAATAGCAGTGATACAATATTTATTCATACAATTACTAACAATCGATGTTGGTTTCATAAAGCGACCATGGAAATTAATACGCAAATACATACATACATATGGGAAAAAGCAACTCTCGCAGTTACCCTGCGAGACCAAAAAAGCTGGATCCGAAATAGTGCCAAAGTTAAAGATGTCATGGCTGTCATATATAGCAAATTGTGAGAATGGACGAGAGGCGCTGGACAAGGCGAGTACTTGAGTGGAGACCCAGAGCGGACATCAGAGGGCGCGGCAGACGACACCCGCGGACACGGAGGTCGGGACTGAATGAGTCTGGCATAAGATCCCCAAGAGTGGAAGAAGAGGGAAGAGGCCTACATCCAAGAAGACATGTCAGGACAGTGGCGCCGCCACACGCAAGCGGTGCACTGAAAACGCACCGACTTCGCGCGCGATCACACTCCTCAATGCTTTGAATAGAATAGAATAGAATAGAATAGACATTTATTGCAACACCACAACACATAGATACAAAAAAAAATATATTGATACTACTTAGACAAGCAAAACAAAACAAAAAGACGTAATAAACAAAATTAAAATAAAATGAAATAAGACAATAACAAACAAAGAGCAAAACAGAAAAATACTAAATATAACAACTACAAATGTTGTACTGTCATGTGTGCGGTTGTGGCGTACGCAAAAGGACTTCATTCAGCTTATGCCACAGCCGCAATTGACTGTGGCGCTGGTTTTCAATGAGCCCTGAGCTGAGATGAGTGACGGACGTGTGTGGTTTGCTCACCCAGTATCAGAATTTAGATAATATTCTTTGACAAACAGTATGTTATCGCCGCGGGATACTTCTGTTCGTGAACTACCTTTCTGGCACTGGATCCTTTAGAGTGGTGACCATACTGTTTTTCTTAATTTTTTTTTAAATATTTAGTCAACTTGACTTTTAAACGCTTTGGTAGTGTAAATACTGTAAACTTTCAAGTGTTTTCAATGAATAAATGACTGATGGAAGAGGAGTTTGTTGGAGTAGTGCTTTCAGGATTAACAGAAGAGTACTTGGCTTTTGAACACTAAAAGAGCAAGCATAACGTCGGATTTTGTCGAAACAACACTTCTGAAGTAAGACCATTGTCGAAGTTTCAAATTATATTTCGCATATACATTCTGAAAAACTCAAACGTGCGAGTCTGGATTTGAACCCACGATCCTTTGCTTCAGAGGCAGTAGGTCAAACCATTAAGCTACCAGGGCTTTTTTTCGGATCTAAATGGGGTATAGTTGTTTTTTTCAAACAAACAAACGTTTCTCTGCCCGCTCAAGTTTTGGTTACGTCACGTTAAGACTGTAAAATACACACACCCAAAAATGTGCATCGAGCACGTGTCTATTCTTGAAAACCAGGTTTTTTTTTAATTAATTTCTTTTAATACAATGGTTTTTCTTTGGTCAATTTTATAATTGGAAAAATAAGTAACTAAATAAATAATTTCATAAATTTGAATCGCTTTTATTGGGGTAATCAAATATTTAAAAAAAAAACCTTGTTAGCAGGCGTAATAGTCGTACTGTTAGTAAAAAAAAAGCAAATGAGTGAATGAATGGAACAGATTTTTATGACATAACTGGTAGATGATTTTACGCGAGTTTGTTTGAAAAAATAAATATACGCGGTTTAGATCTCAAAAAAAAAATCGCGAAAACCTCTGAACTTGATAAAAACCTAATGCTTAACCACCAAGGTGAGAGGTCGAAATGTTATAGGAAAATGCTAATGAAAAATTTATAAGACTGAACCCATCAATACAATTGAATGACTGAATGAATGAATAAATGAATGAAAATGATTCCTCTCAAATAGCGAACAAAACTCAACATTTAATATGGAACAGCTTTGTGGAGGATTTTCGTAATAAAAGTTTTTCGTATTTTATTTTTAACGCACACACTCAGTGTCGCGGGTGCCATGGACACACGCATAGACAACCATAAATTACACCCAAACTCACGAGAGAAATAAATGTAGGCCACACAAATATTTCTCCCCAAATCGAACCCGGGACCTTTGCAATACAGCATGGTAACCGTTCGGGCACGGAGGCAATACGTTAGATGCAATAACCTTGAAAAAATTATCGTCGTTATACATAAGGCTATCACTGAATAAGTGGTGTAACTGTAAATTTTCAAAAATATTACTTTAAATGGTACTAAAGTACATAATTATTTTATATTTGGGTGTTTTTTTGCATGTTAAAAAAATAAAAATTAAATATTTTTTATTTTGTTACCATCTGTAAACAATATGTAGAAATAGATGACACTCTAGCCAAATTCGATGTAGAATAAATAAATAATAACTAAATTTTATTGACCCACTTTAAAAAAGCAGGAGGTTCTCAATTCGACTTTTTTGTATGAACCGTCTTATTTGTGAACCGATTTTGATGATTCTTTATTTGTTGGAAAGAGGGTACCTTAGTAGTGCTCCCATTTAAATTTGAACGAAATATTCCACCTCTAAGGGTGGCAAATTAGGGGATGAATGCGGTTTCGCGCAATTTCCGGTAACCGGTTTCAATAAAGCTTGGCAAATAGATGTAGGTAATTCCAAGAAATTTGGAGGTCGGTATATTTTTAATAAAAACGTTATAATTATTTAGAAATTCAATTAAGCTGTTCATGATCTTGAAGTCATGTTTATGACGGATTTTGTTCAATAGAATCATAGAGAGAGTAGATAAAATCACCAGTAATTAATTATTTATGAAACTGTGTCATCCCTAATGATTTTTTGATTTGAGGGAAAGATTGCAAACACTCGAGTTCGAGAAGTAATTCAAGTTCAGAATTGGAAATAGATGTTGGATGAGATATGTAGTACATTAATATAAAATAAAATCTTACATTTTTATTTTATCAAATATAGGACATTGAAAACAAATGTTTTTTTCTATGTCCTCATTGGTTGCCTACATTGACTTACAATTATATGGATGTCGGGTCCGCGCTAAAAAGTGTCCGAACTTATAGGGCTTTAAAATCGAATACAGAGCGTCATTCACGCTTTAGTCTTCGTTTGTTCGACTGACAGCGAAGCAAGCAAAATTAGACAGTACTGCGATGACATTACAATTTAAATTCAACGTTTTAGCTTTTTCATATTCCTTTACATGTCACTACGTTTAAATAGGTTGACTTGGGACATTTTTTTCGCGGTTTTTGTATTAGACCCGTCGTCCGTTTATTTGTAAGTCAATGGTTGTATAGTGTTAGGTTGCAATCATGATCATTACACTGTATACGAGTATTATATCACACTCGGACAAATAGTTATTGAAATGTATAATTTTGTAAACTGTTATAAATCCAATTTGTTACACTTTTTTACAATAAATTCAATTACTTAAAGTTATCTATTTTTGAGAAATTTGAATTACAGATGACATTTTACTTTAATATCGGTGTTGCGAATTGTTATTTCTTAATGCCATAGACTGTGTCGCAA